TGAGTTGACTGGTATGCTGGGGGTGTTAGTAAATGGCAATTTCTTAAGCTGTGCCATTATTTATAAAGGTTAATTTATTGCATTAGAAGCACACAATAATTGTGCCATTAGCACACTTCAAGTTTACTTGGAATGCCATTGCAATGCATTTTAAAGTCACTAAAAGTAAGGGATAGTATGACCTCAGTTTGTTATTAGTATGATATTAATGTATGTTCAACACTCTTACAGTGTAATTGAATTGCAATTGTAATGTCACCAAAACTTATCTAGACGAGAGAACATGGATACCGGAGGGGACAATGGAAGGGTCTGGAAAAGGAATAAGAGCCGTGGTAATACATTCATTCTAACAGCTTCTCTCCAAAAGTTCTTATTGAAAATTAAGAGAGATTTAATGCTAGTCTGTTGTTTTACTGAACATTTTTAATTTGAAGTCACCATTATGGTGATAGCTGACCCTTGACTTTAGTTAAATTAATTCTCTTCCAACAACTACAACAGTGTTTTACAAAAAGCATGTTCCTTTTTTGTTTGTCAAAATACTCCAACATTTTGGTTTAAATGTTGAAGTAATAATCTGATAGAAATCTGTTTTTGTGTGAAGGTCAACAGGACTACACACATACTTTAGTGTATATGCAATTATTAAAGCAATATAAAGTGAGAGTATTTTTATTCAGGTGTGCGTAAAAGGTTTCTGTCTCTGTTGACAGACTTTTCAATCTGATATAGAGATACTGAGGAGTTCAAATGATAAAACCCAAACCCAAATCCAGCATAAAGAGACTCTGTGAATGTGTTGTTGAATGTGTGTAAGTGTGTGAGTGTGTTTGTGTCAGAGACTCTGTAGAAGGACAGAGTGCCAGCCGACATGTCCACATACACTCCTATTCTATTAGAGGACTCTGAAGGGACACGTATGACGTTTAGCTTATAACTATGAAAAGCAATGAATGTGCCATCAGAGCAGATCAGACTCCAGGAATTTTTATCATATCCAAACTCACAGTCACGACTCCAACCTTTCCTGCTGATTCCCTTATATGTCATTGATATTCCAGCATATCCACTCCATTCAGCCTCCCAGTAACAGCGCCCAGACAGACTCTCTCTACACAGAACCTGAGGACGCACATCAAATCTGTCTGGATGATCAGCATATGACTGATTCTCTACCACTCGTGTCACCTTTCTGTTCTCCTCAGAGAGAATGAGATGAGTATTTGCTGTGTTTGGATCAAGTGTAAGATCACAGGCATCTGAACACAAGAAGAGAGACATTTATAACAACAGCAATCACAAATATACAATCAATGTGTGTGTGCGTGGGTGTATATGAGTGTGTGTGAACGTACATTTGCGTAGTCCTGCGGTAATCCTGAATTCTCCTCCATGATCCATACTAGTTATAATGGGGGAAGATTAATAATAAAATATATGGCACAATCCAGACACAAAGATAAAAAAATATGGATAAGAACAAATATTGGCCATAGAAATGATTACACACACAGCAGTGTGACATACTTGAGTTTGACCAGTAAGCAGTTTGGATTGTTTAGTGTATCAGAAAGCAGCTTGACTCCTGAATCTCCTGGGTGATTGTAGCTCAGATCCAGCTCTATCAGATGTGAAGGGTTTAAACTCAGAGCTGAAGATATATAACGACAGCCTTCCTCTGTCACCATACAGCCAGACAATCTACAAACACACAGGAACAGTCCACGTGACATTAGTTTGGCAATCAAATGTCACTATCACACAGTGACCTGTGTAGTCTGTATTTTATCTTCTGCAGTTTCATTTAGTCTCATTAAAAGGGACTGTGGAAATATATTAAAGAAATTATTGATTTTATTTTCAAAAGAAGTGAAGATAAACATCTAGTTTATCTAGAGCCTCACACGGGGCTTCAGATTATGTAGTGATCTTTAC